GACTACAAGGTTGTTTCTGTTCAAAATTTTTCTAAGTTTTTGGGTACTCAAGAAACTACATACAGCAGCTTTAATATTACCTGTGTCCTATTTGTAATCTTAGGTCAGTCAGGAGGTGAGATGATGTCATTGTTGTCTGTAGGGTGCCCACACAAGAACATCATGGAATCACTTTGGAGCCAGGTTTTGAAAAATACCATTTAGTGTCTACTATAACTCTGTTTCTGTGTGGACACAAAGATAAAATGACAAAAAAAAGTGTATCCACAAAGTGCTGTTCTCATGTGAACTCTGAGTATGTGCTTAGTTCTCCTGAAAGAACAGAAACTAAATTAGTTCAGGTGTAATTGTGAACAGTGCTAAGATGAAAAAGGTGCAGTATGAAAGCCTGCAGGTGTAGGCTGACAGGTTCTGGGTGTGGTCCAAAGGTTATCCCTGTGGAGAAGCAGGGTGAGGAGTACAGAAGAAAAACACCAGCTTATGTAACAACAATGAAAGCAGATGCAGAGTCCTGTGAGCCAGAGCCATGTGGAGGCCAGAGTTCTGCAGGACGCTCAGCAGCTGTCTACATGACATGTGGACTCAGTAAAGAAAGAGGTTTTCCATCAAACAAAAGCTGAGGTGAGGGGGCTCCTGCAGGGAGACACTTCTCCCTGTCACACACACAAAGGCCAGAGGAAAACACTCCTGGACTACACTGAGCTTGGAAACGCAAACCAAGTGGGCTGCAGTGGAACAAGAAAACCTTTAGTATCAAGCTGCAATATTTACCTAGCTTTTACCTAGGAGTGTAAATCCCCAGCTTTATCACAACACAGTATTATATTGTTCTATACGGTGGCCCAGAGGAGTCATGTCAAATAAAAAAGTCACAACACAAATAAAAAAGCCACAACACAAATAAAAAAGCCACAACACAAATACAAATTCCACAACGGAAGTGATGCAACAGAACAAGGTGCGGTTCAGTGATGAAAATGGCGCCATTGCAATCTGGAAATGTAGGGGGCACTGTTTCCTATACCAGCAGTGGATCATTATTATTATTATTATTTATTTATCTTCATGGATTGTTGTTGTGTTTGTTGGGTGGTGAATAAATGCACATGGCCACCAGTCCATCAGGAGTTACTTCTGTTTTATTCAGCTGCCACATAAAACATCAGCACTTCTCTTTGTTTACTTACAGCCACTGATAGCATAGCGGTACTTCTGGTATTAGCAACTCTGTATTTCAAAATAAGAGTCCGTTTTATTGCAACATAGTTTAGTTGAAAATTTATTGCTTCTGACTGTAATAAAACGGACTCTTATTTTGAAATACTGAGTTGCTAATAATGGAAGTACTGGTTGCTGTAAGTAAATAAAGAGAAGTGCTGGTGTTAGCTGAATAAACTGAAATTACTCCTCGTATGTGTGCTGTGTTTTTTGTATTTGTGTTGTGGCTTTTGTATTTGACATGACACCTCTGGGCCACCGTAGGTTCTGTTTACATGATCATTTTTCTCAATAAAATCTGTCAAGATACAATTTCTATTCTGTTCAATTCACAAGTCTGCAATGGATATGATGTGTTCTATATTGTGTATTATGTGTTATTATCATATGTAAATCTAACACTATCATGTAGTTATTAATATAAATATAGTAAATTGTGCTGATGGACACATGAAACCAATCCACATCAGGCATATGATAAAGATATGTGTGAATCATTAATAATTTAATCTATAGATAGATGTAGTTTGTTGTATTATTACATGTGAAGAAAAAGCAACAGATCTCTCAGCTGATTAAATGTCTCATATCAGAAAACGTGTATTCATAATATTTCAAATATACCTTTATAAAAATGTTTACAAATAATTTTAATCAAGTTTATTTAGCTGTTGTTCCTATCCTGACAGCCAAGACANAGTTTATTTAGCTGTTGTTCCTATCCTGACAGCCAAGACACAATAACGTCAAACACAGCTGCCCATGCTGCTTCCACATGTTCACTGTGAGCCTCTGGTTTTCTAAATCTGAAAGTATTTTAAACAAATCATCAATATAAACAAGAACAAGGTAATACACAGTACACTAACTAATCTGGGTTATAACCTGATTTGACTGGAATGGATTTCCCTTCTTTTGAATTAAGCATTACTACCTTATAACATTTTATAAACAAAGAGGTACTAATGCTGATAAATTGTTTATTCATGGTAATACTTCATGTTTCATAGTAATACTTCATGTTTCATAGTAATACTACACGTTTACTTTATTCTCATTTAAAGACCATAATATACTGACTCTGCAAACTGACATGAATAATTATTATTTAAGTTAAAAAATAAAAATGGCTAACACATTGGGTAGGCGGTACCGTCAGCCTGGGACTTTAACTCTGTTTTATTTTTATTTTTTAACAACCACGGACAAAACAAATTAAAATTAAACAGCTTCAAGTTGTTCATTTTATAAAAACTGTAGTATCTGCAGGTTTGAGGCATGGGGAGGCAGTATTCACTGGAAAACATGCACACGTTTGCAATAATAACAGTGAAGCTAACACTGGCTAACAGGCTCAAGAGTCAACCTCACCGGAAACGTAAAGCTACTTCCGGTGCTACCTGTCAAAATACAACACAATGCAGTTTGGGTTTTTTTAACCAATCGTTAGATTGCGCTAAAGGAAACATTTCCTAATTTTACAGTTCAACAATAACACTATAACACAAAACATAATCTTTACATAATAACATCCTTATCAAAACTAATTTATTTTATCTTATTTTGAAAATACCCAGTCCCGCTTTGGCAGTAGATAGTTGCGCTTTGACGCTGCTACGACGGCTAGCTTGTTAGCTTAGCAGCTAACACTACGAGCAGAGAATTAGATGTCCCTTTACAAAGCAGAGTCAACAAAGAAAGTAAACAGCGATACAAGCAACACAGTTTGCGTTCTGAGGAATACCGTAGAGAGTAAAAGTACCTTCCGGTGTGAGGCCTGTGGTATCTGCCGGGCCTCAGGAGGAGAACAGGTCCGCTGACAAAAACCGAGCCGTGCCGCTCCGCCTCCCTCACATGCCCCCTGCCTGCAGTCAGTCAGTCAGTCAGGCAGTGGTTAACCTGCCGCCCACTTCTACTCACAGATTACTGACAGTCACATTCATTCACATCATAACAAACTTTATCCTTTATCACTCCTTTGTGCTCCTTCATGTCCGCTCTCTGCTGGATTTTTACCCCACAATGCAACGCGCATTCCTCACTGTACTCTAAGAAACAGGAAGTTGTACTGTTTTTTATTTCTACTTTATATACATTATATATATA